GGCTTGATTACCTCGCTTCATGCCGGCCTCGGACTCGTCGTCGACGAGGACGACCATCCAGACGCCTACGGCGCAGTTGCTGCCCAGCAGGGGCGTGCAGTGGATCCAACGGACGCGGCCTTCGCTGTTGGACTTGGTGAGCCAGCGGACTTTGGCGGTGACGCCGTGGCCGTCGGCGAAGGCTTGGGAGAGGCCGTCGCGGACACGGTTAGAGCCGCCTATCCTGTCCATGAAGTTGGACTGAAGGATGCCCGGGAGGCGGAGGGAGGGGGAGGCGAAAAGGATGCGGAGGCTGGGGTAGGGCCGGACGAGGAGGTAGTGCTCATAGACGCCGGAAAGCTTGCCGCTCGTCAGAGGCACAGCTGGGTTGGACTGATGGACGGAGGAGGACTCGTCCTGGATTAGGATGCGTGGCTTTTGCCAGTTTGTCGAGGATGCGGCCTGGCCTTCATCTTGCGGGACGCGGTGCATGTTTCCGCCGCGTCTGCGTACGGTTTCGAGTTCGTTCATGTTGAACATTTCGCTGAGCTCCTCAAACTCGTCCTTTTCTTCCTCGTTGTCGTGTCGCTGCTGCTGGTTTTGGCCGTTGATGGTGCCGACGGCCTCCTTCTCGACGACTAGGTTCTGCAGGGCATCCAGACCCGAGCTTTCTTTCGCGAGACCGGAGACGTCGACTTGAGCGCCGATGAAGTAGCGGACTGTGCCGCGACTATCGTATAGCGGCGCCACCATGAGGAGGTTCATGAACGGGGAGCCGTCTCTGCGGTAGTTGAGGAAGGTTTCGTAGTGCTCCTTTCCAGCCAGGATCTTGTCGCGGATACGTCGTACACTAAAGGGGTTGGTCTTTGGACCTTGTAGGAAACGGCAGTTGCGGCCAATGACATAGTTCATGCCGTATTGAGTCGTGCGGTGGAATTCTGTAAGTGACAGTCAGCTGATGTGGAACATGGATAAGGAGAAGGATGTATATACATACCCTCGGAAGCAAAGACAATGGGGTTGTCGTTTCTCGAAGGATCCGTCAAGCAGAACACTTCTGCCAAACCCTCGGACATTTCTCTGAGCTGAACCGGAAGAGTGCCTGTGATACGCCTCTTGATTGACACGCTGACGGTCTGGATCCAAGTATGGGTTATGTAGGCGGGAAGATCTTGCTGAACAAGCACGTCGAAAGCAGCTTCGGCCTTCTTTCTCAAGGAGCTGTTGATTGTGCTATCGGTGTTTGCCATTGAGAATTCGTGTCCGGGCAGAGTGTCGAGGCCACCCGCGATCGCGTTGGCATACGCAATGGCCCGGAGTGCTTTTAAGCAGTCCAAGAAGTAGGTCAGTAGGGGGAGCGAGTCGGGTCGGGCATGGTGAAGGAAGTCGGTAAAACGTTGGAGGAGTAAGTGATCATCAAAAATGGCCTGCAAATGGTCTTTTGAGAAGAGAAGCTCGGAGCGGGTTTCCAGCGAGTACTGTCCGTTGTCGCCATGAGATGGGACTACTAGGTCAAACGAGCCAGGCTCGACTTCCTCTTCTGCCAAGGGCTCGAGAATCTCGTCATCGCCAGCGCCTTTCGTCTGCAGAGCTGGGAGTGATGTATTGTTTGTTTGATATGAGGACGATGTCGAGTTGGCCCTGGACCTTGAAGAACGTGTTCTAGGGCTCCTTGGTGGGCTTGAGGACATTTGCCGCTGCTGAGCGTGGAGAGGTTCGGGAGACTTTACTCTGCCTCTTTCTCTTGGGGGAATGTCAGGAGAACGAACAGCACTTTGGTGAGGTGTTAGCCGACATTGCTCTCGACTTATACAATAGATACATCTCTCCTCTTACCTTCTATCTGGCCGAGGGGCTATGGTATTGGGATTGATGGGCCCATGTCCATGATGTGCGGTCCAGTTCCTATCCTCGTCATCCTCCCAAGCCTCTTGGAACCTAGACGGGTTCCAGGGGCGGTCCTGATGCATCTTGGTGACTGGACGCTTCAGTGGAATGTCAGGAATATCGGCGCCGCCTTCGTCAAAGTCTACTTGTTGCTGCTTCTGACTTTGCAGAGACGTGACACTGAGAGAGCTGTAGCCGTTCATTTGAGGTTGGGTGAGTTCACCGTGCCTGTGTCGGCGGTGGTTTGTGCTGTGAGCGGCAGCGACCTGAGCCATGTGCTTCTTTCGCCGGAATAGTGCTAATACAGAACGTGGTCCAGAATGATCACGGGCCGCAGATGTATCTGTTGATTGGGGCATTATCACGGGCGTTGGGGGAATGAAGAAGGATTTATATTGGGTTTGGACGAAGGCTGATCGTAGGAGAAGAGGATGAGCATCAAATGTCAAAGGAAGATAGCCGTGGGGCGCACCAGCCATGGGCATCCCACAACGTCATCCAGCCAGAGAGCAGGACGGCGCCGTATAGAACAGCGGGGAGGCGATCAAAGGAGAGGGGCTCTGCAGAGACGAAGCAGATAGCAAGCTAGGAGGGTGTGCGAGACCAAAGATCGACGGACGCCGATACTAAACTATTGACGGGCGAGGCGGAAGAAGCGCAAGCGGGCATGTCAGGCACATTTGCCTACATATGGATAGAGCCAACATACTTTTCGTCAGGTACCCGTGAACCCGTCCCCTGCCCTCTTTCAAGGCTGGGTCCCCAGCAAGGCGCCAACATGGGCGGCAATCAAACAAGAATGGGCGAAAACCCACAGCGTTGCGTTGCAGTAGTCTGCGCGAGAAGGAGGTTCCCACGATGTGTGGTTATGGAAGAATGCCATTCGACGGCCGAGCGGAGAATGATCGCCCACTAGCAGAGCTGAGTATAGCTCCTGACCTTGCAAAAGAGATTTCTGAAGGCTGAAGAGGCCAGAACCTGGACGCCGGGCAGTCTTTGTTTGGTTTTCTGGCAGAACCTAGACACTTGCTGACGGGTTGGGGTTAGCCCCATTGCTCATCTGAGCCACGGACACTGCACGGCCTTTGGGGGCTTTTTGGTTCGGGTGAACCAAGCCGTCGTCATCCATAATGTTCTTGTCAACGGTTCGGCGATGCCAGGGCCATCCTGATATGTCAAGAAAAGGCTAAAGGGGGGCGACATGAATGCTCCGACCCAAATCGGCACTTGCAAAACTGTTTCGCGCGCTCTGCAGTGTTACCAATCAAGACGTCAGGCCTGGTGTTAGCCATGCTAAATAAGAAAATAACAGACGGCGATGTCAAGCCAGGAGATAGATCATAGACGGGCTTTGACGGGGAAGCACAACCAGCTTCCTAGCATTAGGTTAGTTTCGGGAGGTGGTAGAGTGACCAGAGTGCATATGCAATATAGTTACCTTCTTTCGACAATGTACCAGTACACACCATTCTCTGTCTCCGTGTCCGTTTACTCCCCTGCTACGCTTGCCTCTTCTGCTGCCATCTTGACTCAGGCACTGGCCGTGAAAGATGCTAAGGTATGTGTACCTCTTGCTGCAAGTTGTGACCTCCCAGTGGTGGGATTTCACCATGTCCGCCGCAACAGCAATGGTCGAGAAAAGGGCAAGACGAAACTTCGGCAAGAGAGTTGCCTGGGGTCCTCTGTAGAATTCAGGTTGCCGTGTACGGATACACTGCAGGTTGACTATGGCAGTCTTGTTGACCACCTGGCACCATGCCACAGTACATAGCCAGGTAATGTAGGATTGGGCGTGAAGATGGGAGAGAGCAATACTGTCTGTGCTACCTCAATTGGCAAAGACGGGGATGCTGGGGGTTGAGAATCGAGATTTCTTCAGCGAACCGTGGGTAGTTGCAGACTCGGACTCTCTTGGCTTTCTCCAGTCTCGAGGCTGCTCCAGCAAGGATTTGCCGAGAAACGTCCAGGAGTTCAGGACCCCCATGAATCCCACGCTTCGAGACTTGGACCAATTCGGCTCCGGCCCCACTGCGGCCCAGGACCCGGACCTCAACCAGTGTCCTAATCGGGCAAAAGGGCGGCGCTCACGGCCTGGCGAGTGCCATTTGACAGTCGAGCTAGCAAATGGGACTATCTCCTAATCAACCTTCGCGTCATATCGCTCGCTCCAATGTTTGGGACCGATACCATGGAGCATGGCAGAGCTTACCGTCGGAAAGGAGCCAGACTGTATTTCTTCGATGCCCGTGCTTTCTTCGATCCCCTCGATCCTCGGAGCTGCGATCTGAAGCCTGAATCGGCGGTCGGACTATATCATTTTCGAAGATGGCCTGGAGATGATTTCGAATTCCCTATACGATTAATTCGCTACCACAGAGTAATTACAAACGGTCGAGAACAACCAGAATGCGTTACCTGAGTCGTGAATATGTATTGCCGGTATTACGATCTCTTGCTGATCGGGAACAGATGGATGGGCTCCCTGATATTGTACCGCGAGTTTGTCCGCGTCTCTGTCAATCAATGCTGTTCGAGCCTCTGAGGTCCCGCCACTGAGCTGCTGGGGGACGTGGGGTTTCGGTATCACGAGGGTTGACTCCTCGGCATCCGTAGGGCTATCACTTCTCGCATCGAGCAATCGACTTCCAACACAACAGGTCATATTTCGTCGACGATCTGCGGATAGCTCAATTGAATTGCATAGAAAGAGCACGCGGCGAGATAGATCGCCAAGGTCCCGAAGTAAGACACCCACGCGGCAAAGCGGAACAAAGCTCATGTTGCCAGCGGCATGGCAGAAGAGCAGATCAGCTCCCGGAGCTTCGGAGACTGGGCTGAATGAGTAATGGAGCCTGGAGGAGATAAAACCGTGACGGAAAGGCATTTTCTCAGCAGTGCCAGTATGTCATCGTCAACGTCCCACCAAAATGCGTCCGGAACCAAGCGTTGCCGACTCGTGGCCTTGCGAACCTCGGAAGGAGGAGTACCAGTATTGTGGACGGCACGAAATATTACTGCAGTACGGATTAGTGTTGAGTGGCGGGTGTACCTAGTCATCATTGCAATCAGGGATGACGCTGTCTGTCACTGTCAGCGCAAAGCCACAGCCAAAATGAGAGCCGAGTCTGTTCTAGCGCACGGTGGGCGAAGGTTACACGCCCTCTCTGGTTGTGGATGGATACAGCCAGCAATACGTATCATTACCTCCTGACGAAGGGGCTCAAGGGTTCCCGGGAGTCATGGCTAAAGCGCTGTTGGTTTCTCGGACAAGGATGCGAAAAAAGACAGGACCCGGAGATTGCTTAGTTTCCCACGTTCCTTTGGACCCCTTCCGTCAGTGTAAGTATCCCGGGAATAGCTTTGTAAACAAGGCGAGAGCCGTTGATCCAAGAGCCTCAAGCAAACTCTATCTGTATCCGTACTCTGTATGCCGTTGTCTGTACTTGTCGTCTCGCTTTTGGCCCTGACAGCTCGTGTAAGCGGGGAGAGATGATTTCCGCCGGGGAGCTGCCTTGTTCGATGGAGCAAGTAGCAGGTAGCTTCACACAAGCTGTGAACGGCTGGCGGGGTTCCGAGAGTTCGGTCGAGCAGTTATGTCAGGTTACCCCATAGGAACCGGGGATTGAGAGGGATCTGCTTGTTGGGATTGGATCATTGCATGTGGCCAACGAGTCAAAAGCCGCATGTCAATTTGGGAAGATTGGCGGCAGGCACTCGAGGAGCCTCTGTCCCGAAAAGGCGTGTATCCTGTGTAACAGTCTGAGGATAATATCAGGCTATTTCCTGATCAGCTCTTCTGCAGGGGAGTGGGGGTTGAGAGTGCGCCGTGCGTGCTGCGGCGTATGGATCGTCAAGTAGCGAAAGGTTTGGGTGCTGGGCTATTGAGTGTTGTGCATGAAGGAACGCTGGAAGGGTTTAGACGACATGATAACCTAGCCAGCTATCCGTATCCATAGATCAGCTCAAGGTTCCTGCATTTAGGTCGGGATTTGGAGCGTCACTGCCTGTCAGTCTACGAAAGCTCCAGTGCAGCTTCGACCTTATGTAAGCATTTGAGACTAGTCCAGAGCAGCACGTGCTTGCTTATCTAATACATACCTATCTTACAGTGGGAAGTGACAGTGCGCATTCGCATATCGAAACTGTCCAGCAACAGGTCGTGTAACCCCTTTTTGGAAGCGCGAGAGTGCTTTACGCGAAGAAACGCGTCGCATCGCGTAGCTATAGCTGGCCACCATTGTTTATCTTCGTCCGTTTGTTCAGCGTTCAATGACGTAAGGCAAGGGACCTTTGCTCGAGCGTTTGAGCTCCATACCCGGAACTAAAATCAACCAGCATCGAGGATGAGTCTCCTGAATCCTGCGCTCAGTTCCTCATCATGTTAGCAAGACACGGCCGACGATAATCCTGCTGTGGGCTTTTGGAGGATGAATAGTTGACGGCCACCGCTATTGTTTACGAGATTCCATCGGTTGGCTTCTGCGACACCGCGGAGGCTGGTTTTCTTTTAGTTTTTGGCCTGGTGTATCCGTAGGTCCCCACTCAAGGGGCCAAAACAAGAGCGCCCAGCACGTGTCGACTGGCTGTGAGTTCCCGAGGGTGCTAAATGGCAAGGTGCGGCAGGTGCCCAATGGCCCGAATTTGGACCATTGAAACTTAGCTTAGGTTGACCAGAAAGAAAAAAAAAAACACAAACAAAAACAATTCTCCCAGCCCCCTCTTTGCGCAAGGGAGGCGGGAATCGTGTTAGCTGGAATGCAACACGGCCTTTATTTTTCTTTTGACGAGACTGGCGACGCGACAATGTTCTTCCCGAATCCCAAGTACTATGGAAGCGCGATGGAAGAGGGGAAAGCGTGAAGACATACTTTTATCCATACACAAACATCCAAAACTAACGCCAACTCACGTTTACGTAGATAACAAGGTGCGTTTCATCGCGACTGCCATCCCATTTTTGGTCTTGTCTCGTCCCGTACCGTCCCATCTGTGCCTTGCATAGCTTCTCTTGTCTCTGACTGTGGGTGGGTGCGAGGACGTTTCCCAATCTCAATCAACACTCATGCCAAAGCCTACTTAGGTCTCGATAACGCAGCGTGGCTAGCGTAGTTGAAACCGCATCGGATGATGATTAATACCGTAGGGAGTTCGAAAACGTAGATTGCGTGCATACTTTCAGAGCAATTGCTTCAATCTCTCATAGTTGACAAGCTTGACACTACTGTCAAACTTATTGTGGCTTTCCCTCAACAAGGAGGTAGTCCTTGGCTGATAGTGAGGGGTGCCTTTGACAAGTGAGAGGCAAGAAACACGCACGAGTCGAAACAACATAATATTGTGATGGCGAAGTGTTGTTATGAGATCTACACGTAATAGAACTATAATGTGCAAGCAAGCCAGGGCAGGAGCAACTATTGATATAGTTTCCTGGACGAAGTACTTAAATTAAAAGTCAACAGCCAAAGTCGAGGTACCTACTCTATTTGTTTTCTCGATTGTTTGTTCTACCTCATGTTGCTTGCACGGGCTTTGCAGGAGGAGAGAAAAGAAACATCAACTCTGTGCTCAGTTCTAACATTCGATCGCGCTGACCCTTGAACGACAGGCGACGGGACGGGATGTTTGTTGTTGTTGTTCGCCATCCCCAGTCTCGTCTCCCCGTCCCGGTTCCCTCCCCCTTGGGTTGTCGGTCAATGTTATTGTCCCCCTCCCTCCCCACCCTGCCGTGCGGGACCTACTGACGCCAGTCACGCCAGACGCCCTTTCTCTTCCCTCGCCAGTCGCGTCCAAAGGCCAACGTGCACCACCAAGGTACCTCTGGAAACCACCAAACAGTCCCTAAGGTGCATAGTAGTCAAAGTACCTGAATGGAAGTGCGTGATGCGTGCCCGCGTACCTTACCCAGACAGCGGCCGAAGGGACCGCTGCTGTTGTTCTTGTTGCTCTGCCGTCTACGCTAAAGCCATAACAAGAATAGCGTCTCTCCCTTTGCCGCGACTCCCCCAGTTCAACCTCCTCGACGCCCTTGAGTTTCGTGGTTTCCATCCTCTAAGTGGGAGTCCCCTCCCCCCGCCCCGACAACAGCCCGTTCTGCCCTGGCATGCTTGCCCGAGTGAGGTTGGGTGATACTAGACTGTGACCAGTATTGGACGGGTTACACCTTACTGGCTGTTGGACCCCTTCCCGTCACGATTAGAACCGCTGCACCTCACCACCGCGGTGCTTGTCGCCTTGAGGTACATACTGACCTTGCCGCACCTACCTACCTCACCTGGTACCTCCATTACCTTGCACCTTCCTACCCGCCCAACCACTCATCATCGTGCCTTCCTCCGCCGCTGGCTCTTGCCGCTTCCTGCGACTCCAGCCTGTACCCCGTGGCCTCAGACATCTCGAATCTGCACTCAATCCAACGTTCGACAGCCTTTCACCACCCGTCGACGCCCATATTGCTGTCTTCTCTTTCTTCTCTCTCTCTCGACTAATTATTTTTTTCGACCCGTTTTGCGCCATTAATCCCAGAAGCTTGTCGCCGGCGCCCGAGTTCTTGCGACCGCCTGAGGGAAAAGCATGCGAATGACAACGATTTGAATACCGCCGTCAGGGATAAGGTGGTGATTCGTATGCCGCGCCGACCGGCCAAGACGACTCGCCGATAATTCGAGCAACGACTTCGTTCTCCGAACACTGCGAGCGCATCATTTGAATAGCTTTTGTCGCCCCAGTCTCTCAACTGCGACGACACGACCACCGCTCTCTGAGGCCCGCACTGGTGTCGGTGCTTGGTGTGCTTTATCATTCCCCGCCACATCCCCCGACGACGCTCGTCCCAGCCGCCTTCGCTAGACTTCAGCCTCTTCGCGCAACTCTCACGGACGATCTCCGTTGCTTGTTGCAAAAAAGTCAAGATGACTCTCCCGACCGATTCTTTGGCTGCCCTCAGCGCTTCTGGTTCCATCAAAAGACCAGTAGCTGATGCAAGCAATTCAGCAACCGCGACACCCACTCGCTTCGCAACACCCCCCCCTCCTTCCGACAGAGGTCTCGTCGAGAACCGCCAATATTTGGAAAATACAAACCAGCGCAAGATTCAACACAGCAGAAGACCTAGTGAATCAGCTCGATCCAGTGCTTTCGACCCCGACGCCGTCGACAGTGCTTTGCTACGTGAGATGCACCACCGATCACAGAGGGAAAGCACACCTGGTGCAAGCCCACATCGGAAGCGCCAGAGAATCAATGGCGACAGGTAGGTGTACATCACCGTGATCAACTTCAACCACTATTTACTAAGTCTTTTCTGCCAGATTTATTCCGACACGAACTGGCCAGGACCTCCAAGCCAGCTTCAACTTGCTACACGAAGATGGCTCTCCAGCGACACCGTCCAAACAAAAGAAGCGTACTCCTCACGGAGAGCTACACTTTCAGAAGAGTGAGCCATCTACGCCCCTTCACCCGAAGGAGACAAATCTGACCGTTCTTAGCTGAGGAAGCAAACCGGACATTCTCGACGTTGCTCCGCGCAGAGCTCTTTGAAGGCTCAATACCACAGGCAACACCGCCCACTATGTCTCCTGAGCATACTTTATCCACTGCATCGCACTCTGCCAATATTCGAGATTCAACGAGGTCTCGCACCCCGCCAAACAACGCTTCTACCAACTCTCTTCCATCCTCTCTAACGCCATCGACTCCCCACAAGAATCTGTTCTCCTACATGTCTCCGCGGAACCTGGGCAATGCGGGTCATCTAACGCCGTCAAGGACACCGCAGAGCCGGCATGGTCCCAATCTCGACACTCGCTCCGAGATCTATAGCCTTTCGCCAGTTCGCTTCAACAGTCAACAGATGCTGCTTAGCCCGCGGAGGCAACCGAGGGCGGTCAGTAAAGTGCCTTACAAAGTTCTCGACGCGCCTGATTTGGCAGATGATTTCTACCTCAACTTGGTAGATTGGGGCAGTGCCAATGTGCTTGGGGTCGGGCTCGGGTCCAGTGTTTACATGTGGAATGCTCAGACAAGTCGCGTCAACAAGCTGTGTACGCTCGAGGACGATACAGTAACGAGTGTGTCATGGATTCAGAAAGGAACCCACATCGCTATCGGGACCGGCAAGGGCCTCGTCCAAATCTGGGACGCTGAAAAGACAAGGCGACTGCGAACAATGACAGGCCACACGGCACGAGTGGGCTCCCTGGCTTGGAACACTCACATACTGACATCTGGCTCTCGCGATCGCCTGATCTACCACCGCGACGTGCGGGCCCCCGACCAGTGGCTCCGAAAGCTTGTCGGCCATAAGCAGGAGGTTTGCGGTCTTAAGTGGAACTGCGAAGACGGCCAGCTTGCCAGCGGTGGCAATGACAACAAGCTCATGGTGTGGGATAAGCTTTCCGAGACACCGCTGTGGAAGTTTTCAGATCACACGGCAGCTGTCAAGGCCATTGCATGGTCACCGCATCAACGGGGACTGTTGGCTTCGGGTGGAGGTACGGCTGATCGACGCATCATCTTCCACGACACAGTCCGCGGATCTGTCATCAACGAGATCGATACTGGCAGCCAGGTCTGCAATATCGCCTGGTCCAAGAACTCCAATGAGATTGTCTCGACGCACGGTTATAGTCAAAACCAGATTGTGGTATGGAAATACCCTTCCATGACGCAGGTGGTCAGTCTCACTGGACACACGTATCGTGTGCTTTACCTGGCTATGAGCCCGGACGGCAGAACCGTTGTGACCGGCGCCGGAGATGAGACATTACGATTCTGGAACGCATTTGGACGACGACCTGGGGCGAGAGAGGATAGTGATGGAGGGCGACTATCTGACTGGGGCGTCATCCGGTAGAAGATTGGAGCAGCAGGCTCCGCATACGACATTATACCAACATCTCCCTTTCCATTTGGCTCGAGGGGAGGTTAATAACGGCTTCGGACAGGACTAGTGGCAGGCGGGAATATGGAGCGAGCACTCGAATTCTGTTTCTTGGGAAATGTTGATGGGCAAGAGGAAACGTAAATACCCAGTTACCGGTTGCATCATGTGCATGGAATGGGCGTCATTCAGATTGGGGGTTGGGGCTTACAGGACATTGTTGTTTCTCGGGTTTTCATGTTTTTGGGGGGAATATGATTTAACAAAGCCTTTTTATCATCTGG